ACTCGCGGACAGTACCAGCAGCAGTGCTTACCGATTAAGCTAAGGTACTGTTGGTGATTTACGACGGGAAATTAAACATCTTATAATGACTGAATGCGCGCGTCGAAAAGCAAAAAGACACCTGCGGGATTCGAACCCGGGCTCCGCGATTCGTAGACGGCGAATCTAACCACTAGGCCATTCCGCTTCCTTAGAATTCTGCTTAAAAACGATTTGTTTGAATAGGCGGAGAAACACGTACTGAACATTGTTGAGTGCATCTGTTTTATCTAGCTCCATGGACGAACAGAAGTCGATATTTCGTGCAACAATGAGCCAACTGTTTTCATTTGTTACGTTTGGAAAATCATTGTATGCGGCAGCCTCGTTAGTCGGACTATACGTGGGCTAAACCTACCTATCGTTACGCAACAATGAACACCGTGATTATGCAGGCCTTGTTGAAAAAGCATCATGTGCGTTCAGGGGCGGACCAGGAAATTTTGCGGGGGGGGGGGGGGTTGATGTCCAGGCCCGTCAGACGTTCATATCCGATTGCGGCGGAAAGTGTCATTATTAGAATAATTATATATTTTTTCATTTTTGCGATTTTGGACCGGAGGGGGGGGGGGGGGATTTCGACCCCTCTGGATCCGCGCCTGACTTCTCCTCTTCGTATTAAGACAGATACAGATTCTCAACTCCGTCACTACTACTTCCACATTATACGGACGTCTTTAAAAAAGGAAATAAATTGTTTTACGGATTTGTTTGTTAACACTATAATCGGGCCTCTGTTCAGTTCGCCGTTTCCAACAGTCTTTCATTAGCCTGTAATCAAACAGTGTTTTCCTGAAAAATAATGTAAGCAGTATGTTCTCATCCTTAATTCTATAAAACGAAATCAAACGTAGGGCGCTGTTCTTGATGTGCATCATAACCTTTCGCTCGTAACCCGCTCCCCCACCCCGCCCTGCAAACAGTTCTGACGAAAACGAATTGGAATGTGTTCTAGGGTCCCTTAGGCATCTTCCCTGCAAGTTTCAAACAATTATATTTTTTGACCAAAATTGACAAACATGTAAGGGGTTAGCATTACATTTCTAGACACAAGAATGTACATAACACGGTTTGCGCACTCGAGCGTAAGCCCTTTTGTGAGAGGTCACAACACAGGCACAGCAACTTTGAAGCAATTTCATTTTTTCGGCTTGAATTGAAAAAAATGCAAGGGTTAACCTTACATCTTTCGTCAAATTTGGCCAAAAATTGACTTTCTCCAAACAAGGCATAAATTCATCTGGATGCAAGAGGAACATCAATCAGTACTCTAGCACACACACAATTTTGAAGATTTGGGCAAAAATCATCCAGGTTTTTTTGGAGGAGCCATATATTTTTTGAGTGCTTTTACTTTAAATTTTCGACGGAGTTTCCCTTTTTAATAGCACATCTGTCCAGAAATCGATTTGGATTGTGTCCTAGGGCCCTTAAGGTATCTTTCCAGCAACTTTTCAGCAATTTCATTTTTTTCGACAAAATTGGAAAAAAATGCGAGGGGTTAACCTTACATTTTTTAGTCGAAGTTGGCCAAAAATCGACTTTTCTCCAAACAAGGCAGAAATCCATCTGGCTGCAAGAGGAACATCAATAAATACTTTAACACGCCCAATATTCAAGGTTTCGTCAGGTTTGTATTTTTAAAGCCTTTATTTTAAGAGACTTTTACATTCTGTCAAAGGGTCTACTTATCTGAGAACAAAATACAATTTGTGAATTTACCTTCGAATAATTTGATTCTGGATTTTTTCCGTGAATGGATTTGACGTTGAAGTGAATGCAAACAATTTAACTGAACACCTACCCGATAGCGTTCTTCTTTTGTTAATTAATAACTGATGGATCATTTAACAATAACTGATGAAATGAATAAAGGATTGGAAAGATTTCCATACACGAAGTTCACTCAACACCCTGTGTACAAACCCTATGAGATTGGACTGAGAAATTCTAAGTGTTTTCTAAGAAAATGCTTGTATTTTCTCACTGCTCAAATTGACTTTGATGACATAAAATTGCTATCTGGGGGCTTGTTAGTCAAAACAGAGGAAAATTAGTGAACTTCGTATATGGAAATCTTTCCAAAGGATTCACAAAGTACACAGTTTGCAGCAAAGTTGATGCAGAAATAGTATGATTCCGAGTATTTTAATACCTTTATATGTGTACATATACCATCACACAAACATGGGCGTCGCCAGGATTTTTTTCTAGAGGGGGGCAAAACATATTTTTCCCAAAAACTTCCTGTATTTTTCAACATATTCTCCATTTATCAGTTTTAGAGGGGGGCAGGGACATTTAGGCCCCTCCCCCTTAAGTCATTAAATTTACACCACTATGACTTCGCGCCTCTTTCTCTTTTCTTTTTTATCTTTTCTTTTTCTTCCTTTTTTTTGTTTTTTTGTTGCTTTTTCGGGGGGGGGGGGGGGGCCTCGCGACGCCCATGCACACAAACGCGTTCTCTAACAATTGAATAAACCATAAGTATATATTACTCTTGAATGAAACCCAAGTGAAGGTCGTACAGATACACACACACACATGTAGCCAGCACCCAATTCCATGATATTCATCGCAACTTGCGATGAATCGCAGCTGCAAGTACCTGCAAAGCGTCCTGCGATCCATTTGACAAAACATGTCACAAGTGCAACTCATCGAACGTGTATTTATCAGGGATATCACAACTCGGTGACTGTTTTATGTATTTAGTCAGCAGACAGTAAATAGTTATCTGATATTCAACAAAGAGTTGTCGGGTGTCCTCTTTTTTTAAACATAAAACAAAATGGCGGACGTGTGATGCAATTTTAAAGGAAAACAAGCTCTCAGTGGACTGTATAGCTACTTTCAAATTTTAACTGTAATAATTCATAACTATTCAATGCATTTTACATTTACACCATTACACACATTGTCTCGGTAGTGTAGTCTTGTTTATGTATTTTTATGGCATAAAACTGGCTAAGAAATGGACGCTTTTTGTAATGACCACTAGACACGTAACTTGTGACGTGTTTTAAGCTGTTGTCAATTAACTTAACAACACATTCAACACATCCCAAGTTTTGTGAAATGGATCATACGACGCGTCGCGAGTTGCGACGTGTTACACATTGTATCTGGAGTTGCTACGCATCGCAGTTCTTCATGAAATTGGGTGCTGGAGCCTTAAAAAAGAAGAGAAATAGAAGGAAAGCAAACAAACTGTTTTAGAGTAAAATGAAATGTGTGTTTCCAAAAAGCAATTATGGAAACTACTTCTAGATGAACAAAAAATAAACTAAAAATATGGACTTCATGTATTCTCTTTTGAATATCACAGATTAATGAATGTAATGCATCCTGATCTGATGAATATCAGTATGTAGGTTTTCCTATGAAACCACACAATTTCAGCAGCATATTAATGAATAAAATCGAAGACAAAACTGTAAACTGAAAGGGATATTTACAATCGCAATCCCAATTACGACAGAAGGAACGCTTATCTTTAGCTGAAAAAAAGAAAGAAAGAAAAAACTGACAAAAGATATAAATGGGGAAGTGTATGTCTTAAATCCTTAAGTCAGTGGTAAATATGCAATATTTATTCGTTTAACCATTTTACAATGGTGGTTGATGTCAAAATAATGGAAGATGTACGTAACACAATTTAATGGTTTTGTAGAGAATATACATCATGCAGGATGTCACTTTTGAGGACTCGGAAGCAAACAGCTTAAATACATGTATTTTGCATCATTTTGGCAGAACACACGTCTCACAAATACCAAAACGGATATATTTCATGTGCAGGATTGTTGCTGCTGCAGACTTTTAAATCTCAGTTTATGGGGTCACACTTAAAATGTACTGAACATGGCCCTTTATTCTAAAAAATATAGAAAGAAACCAAAAATACCCACTTTTTTGTTTCCGTGTTTCAAAATCATTCATTCATGATTATAAAAATTCTCACATCAAAAGTCACACAATTATACTGGTTAATCTTATTTACAGTGATAATTGACATTGAATGAAGCGTTGACTGTTCTGGTAGGCCATCGGCCTCGGTCCAAAATTTTGGCCACCGGTATCAAATGAGGGGAATAATCGTCATAGCGATTTTTGGCAAGGTATACACCTCCAGAGTTGGAAAATATGTGATAGCATTGCAGCGGTGGCAGCTTTTTGGGTGTTATCACCCTTTTTTTCCCCAAAATGTCCATCAAAATGATTGTTACCACTCTAGGGGCGGTATACCTTGCGCATGCGCACTATAATCATTTATGCCCTGATTTGATACTGACCAAACCCCCAGGCTGATGGCCTATGGTTTGGCAAATCTGCCCAGGACAGACTTGCAAATTCAAGAATCAATTTCATCATAAAAGTATTCCCCCCCCCACATTTCAGCACACTCATTTACCAACCTTTCTTCCAAACCCAGGTATAGTAGCTGGGAACCTGTGCATTGATGTTCACAATCCAAGGGGTATGGCCCATTAGTGATGATACACTTCTTCTGATTGGTTGGGTAGAAAGGTTAAAGGATGTGACAACCAATGAATGTTGGTGTTACAAACAGAGAGTGAGCCCAAGTTATGGACTGTTTGGTCTTTACTCTCAGATTTGGACCATTAGTGATAATACACTTTTTCTGATTGGGTTGAGTAGAAACGTTAAGGGTACGATAACCAATGAACGGTGTTGTTACATACAGGGAGTAAGCCTGGGCCAAGTTCGCGCAAGGACCATTAGTCGACTAGTGGTTGATTTGTGACGTACCTTACGCCTGCGCACTGATAGCAACGTGCGAACGTCTCTAGTCAAACGCTGGTCAAAATGTCATCGCAAAACTTCTGGATCCTGGCTCTCTGCTGTACGTTATGAATGCGCGCGGCTATGTTACCAGCGAAGCAACCAACCCCAGTAGGTTGGTTCCAAATAGTCGACTAGCGTAGTCAACCATCGTCGACTAGACAGAGTTCGGGCAAGCGTTAGTCGACCAATGGTTAACTATAGTCCTTGCGCGAACTTGCCCCAAGTCATAGACTATTGGGTCTTTACTCTCATATTTGGCCCATTAGTGATGATACACTTCTTCTGATTGGTTGGGTAGAATGGTTAAAAGGGTACGACAACCAATGAACGGTGTTGTTAAATACAGGGAGTAAGCCAAGTCATAGATGAGTAGGCTTTATCTTCAGATCTGGCCCATTGGTTTCAGGTCAGCTGACACCTCAAACTCACAACCCGTCGCCTCCACCACGTGCTCAATCGTCACGCCGTCAGCAATCTCCATGAGCGTCAGTCCTGTCTCCCTGTCAACATTGAAGACACACTGCAGGAAGAAATGATCATAAACAGATGTGAAAGGTTAACCCATTACAATGTGGAAGATGTACTACATGAACATGGTATTTACATTGTATTTATTCCCCGATGAATACATACAACCATACAGGGCTGGGGCAATTTTGAGGCAGTACAGGGAGTAACAGGCAGGGCAGTTTGGGGCGGTACAGGGAGTAAAAGGCAGGGCGGTTTTTGGCAGTACAGGGAGTAACAGGCAGGGTGATTGGGGGGGGGGGGGTACAGGGAGTAAATGGCAGGGCAGTTTGGGGCGTTACAGGGAGTAACAGGCAGGGCAGTTTTTTGGGGGGTACAGGAAGTAACAGGCAGGGCAGTTTGGGGCAGTACAGGAAGTAACAGACAGGGCAGTTTGGGGCAGTACAGGAAGTAACAGACAGGGCAGTTTGGGGCAGTACAGGAAGTAACAGGCAGGGCAGTTTGGGGCAGTACAGGAAGTAACAGGCAGAGCAGTTTGGGGCGGTACAGGGAGTAACAGGCAGGGCAGTTTGGGGCGGTACAGGGAGTAAAAGGCAGGGCGGTTTTTGGCAGTACAGGGAGTAACAGGCAGGGTGATTGGGGGGGGGGGGTACAGGGAGTAAATGGCAGGGCAGTTTGGGGCGTTACAGGGAGTAACAGGCAGGGCAGTTTTTTGGGGGGTACAGGAAGTAACAGGCAGGGCAGTTTGGGGCAGTACAGGAAGTAACAGACAGGGCAGTTTGGGGCAGTACAGGAAGTAACAGACAGGGCAGTTTGGGGCAGTACAGGAAGTAACAGGCAGGGCAGTTTGGGGCAGTACAGGAAGTAACAGGCAGGGCAGTTTGGGGCAGTAAAGGAAGTAACAGACAGGGCAGTTTGGGGCAGTACAGGCAGGGCAGTTTGGGGCAGTACACTACAGGGAGTAACAGGCAGGGCAGTTTGGGACAGTACAGGGAATAATAGGCAGGGCAGTTTGGGGCCGTACAGGGAGTAACAGGCAGGGCAGTTTGGGGCGGCACAGGAAGTAACAGGCAGGGCAGTTTGGGGCGGTACAGGGAGTAACAGTTCACACCCCACTCATCATTTCTGTAGTGATCATATTCACACACTTTTCCCCAGTCAGTGGCATGCACCATGAGTCCAGCACCTTGGGCTTGCTTCCCTTGTATAATGGCTCAGCCCTTCCCTACCCATCTCATGTTCCCCCTTTCAAGATAGCCCCGCCCAAACCTCACACCCCACTCACCATTTCTGTAATGATCATATCCACACACTTCTCCCCAGTCAGTGGCAAGGCAAAGCTATCCAGTATCTTAGCCTTGCATCCCTTTTATAACGGGCCAGCCCCTCCCTTCCGCTTCCAAATCCCCCCCCCCCCCCTTCAAGACAACCCCGCCTTACTTCACACCCCACTCACCATTTCTGTAATGATCATATCCACACACTTTTCCCCAGTCAGTGGCAAGGCACAGTTATCCAATATCTTAGGCTTGCCTCCCTTGGCTTGGTGCTCCATGGTCACGACGACCTTGGTCCTCGCCGCTGAGACCAAGTCCATGGCCCCGCCCATCCCCTTCACCATCTTGCCCTGCAAATAATATACCAAATTTGATTAAGAATACGCACAATTTCTGTAATACAAATCTTAATTCGTGAAATTCTCAAATTACAGTATTTTTTTTTATAACCCCTATTTAGGCTGTAATTGCCCATCTCGTTAGCGTAGTGAATAACGCACGCAGAATGAATGGACAAAAATACCGGCGCATTCTTCAAATTTCAATCATGAATGTAAGTGCAAGATTGGCCAAATTTTTTAAAATGTTTAATGCTGTATATTACATGTCTTATTAGCACAGTGAGAATAAAATGCAAGCAGAATACTCACACTGAAAACATGGGGCTTTTATTTTCTTACTTGAACATAAATTGCATGAGGGCTTGAAAAAACTTTTTAAGCCAAATTCCATCAGCTATTCACTACTACTGTATCTGGCAGCATGTGAGATATTTCTTGTCTGTTAAGTGTGGTTCTGAGCAGAGCTCATAATTAGATTAATATTTTGAGCAGCATAGTGGCACAGGATGTTACAGACAAAAGGAAAGATCATTTTTGAGATAAAAACGCTTAAACATACTGGTATCATCCAGTTGGCCAGGTCACCGTACTTGGACACCTGCATAGCACCAAGCATCGTCAGATCTATGTGGCCCCTGTGTACAAACAATAGAAAGTTTACAAGTGATGTTAATCCCAAATTCCTTACGTTTGTAAAAAATCCTATAAAAATTGGAGGATTAAAGACTGTTAGGGTTAAGTTAGGGCATACAATTGTCTAGATGCACTCCGTGCATGAACGGCAGATAGCACCAATAATGAGAGCTCTGTGTGCGGGGCACACTGCACGGGTGCACTGGTCTGTGCAAGTACGGCACAAAGTACGCAAGAATAATTTGGGTAATCCTTACTTTTAGGACACCTCTATTTTGTACGAGTTCTGTTCAAAACTGACTTTTGCAGATGACTGTCCAGTACCAAAGTGACTTTTGCAGGCTAAAGCAGTCTTTTTTTCTTCAATTCATGTTAGTTGTAATTTTGAAAGCACTTTCAAAGAAAATGTGACTAAATTCTACCTTTTTTTGCAGTTCGCCATCTTGCTTTTTTAATATATTTTCTGTTTGTCATCGTCGTCTTTAACCCCTCATAAATCAAAGCCCTGTCCTCTTTTTACAAAATTAAACCTTCTGATATTCAAGAAGGTGTCATTGCCAAATGTTCAAATGTGCCAAGAAATATCAGAATGTCACTTTTGAGTGTCATTTAGTCAGCTGTTTTGGTGAATCTTTAACCTTATATAGGAAAGGGGTCCTAAAGGTAAGGATTACCATAATTTGATTTTGATCAAGCACAAACCCATACATCGCTGCATTGGCACCATCATACCCATAGTCCCTCGAACTTCAGTCTGATTGTAAACATTAAAGGGCGCCCGTGTGTCGAGTCCATTTTGGTTTTGACAGGCTTACGTCTTTCACATTGTCCAGATTTCATAAAGAGACAATTCTTTTATTAACTACCAGACTAAGTGGGGTGGGGTGGGGGGGGGGGGGGTGGCCTGGCGGTTAAGGTTTATGACTTTACATTTACTTTATTACTCGGGAATAAACAGTAAAAACCAACACATACAAATTAGAGGACAACAACAGAAAACAAAAAGAACCTAACAGCTCCCGAAGGATTGCCTAAAAGAGACAAAGTCTGTGTCGAGGAGCTCTCCTGACTGAAAAGGTTCACACACAAAATGCATTGAATTAAAATGATTCACAGCCAGAGGGTCAGGGGTTCAAATATGTTGTGTCCTTGGGCAAGCCACTTCTCCCCCACTTGCTCCTCTCCACCCAGGAGTAAGGGTACCGGCATTAGCTGGGAAATAACCTGCGATGGACTAGCATCCCATCCAGGGGAATAGATATATTCTCAGTCAAATCATGCCACATAAACCAGAGATCAATGCCCGCCTGATGAGCTATATAGGCGCTAAACAGACTTTCCTTTGCACCGAATGGACAGGGTAATAATGATATAGCATCTTGAGCAACAATGTTTGTGAAAACGAGCGCTTTATAAATACACACTTTTTCAGTTATCACAACTATTTATCGGACTAAATTGTATCTTTCTGGAAACCGGAATAATAACTTGGTATAAAACTTGTCATCGAGGGTAGCAATTACAAGCAGGGTTGGCTGCAACCTACCCTCGGATCATGGCGAAGGAGTCGTCACTTGAGAAGTAGGAAGCACCAGGGATGACCGTCACCGTCTCCTTGCCGGCGTTGATCAGGTCAGGGTCCTCCTGGCCCTTCACTGGGAATGGACCCTTGGATTATGAAAAAAAAAGGCCAAATTTAGTCCAATTTCACAGAGCTGGTAATTGCAGATATTTGCTAAGCATAGACAATACTGGCTTAGTAAAAAAAAAAAAAAAAAGACCATCAGCTGAAATGTCATGGACAGAAAGGCTCAAGGTACGCTCTGAATTTCCCAGACTGCTCATTTTTTCCAGCTAAACATATCTGACAATACCCAGGATGAAGAGAAGAGACTCTTTAGCTGTTTTAAACTTCTAAAAATTTCAGATTTTTACTTCCAAAATTCAGATGTTCAATTCTAAAAATCAGATTTTAAACAGCGTGTTTCCTGACCCTTGATATTCCTGTGCTCTATATATGACAAGCATAAATCTCACTAACGACAACACTTTAACCCTGCGCAGCGTTTACAAGAAATGTGTATCAGGAGTCGCCACCTGCGTACCCTTGGGACGCAGGTACTTCTCCCACTACGCAAGACCCTATCCATGTCAAAACAACACAATAACATGTGCCAGACCCTCTCCAGGCAGTTGCCAGACAGGGCACTTAAAAGATAATTGACTGGCGGCTGTGGTTTGCGGCTATGAAGGGAGATGGCTGTGTCAAGTTACAGGTGTTTGTATATGTTTCAATGAGACTTGGCAGGAGGCCTGGTCGAAAGTTTGTTGATCCAGCTTGGGTGAAGCCCTGGCTGCAAAGTTCATTGAACCAGCTTATTTGGCAAGGGGCGAATGAGGATTAGATGGAAGGTGACCGTCATTGGCCCTCAATTTCTTTCTTTTTTTCAAAAAAATCGGGGTACGCAGGTCACTCTGCGCAGGGTTAACATGCAGCATCACAACTAATATCTTAGTTAGCAATTACATCACATGCTTTTGCAATATCATAAGATATACAAAAAGAAAGCTCCATTTGTATTCTGAGCCAAATGTAGACCTGTTGGGAGACTTCACTTTTCTCCGCGCACGATGAGTTTACCCAGAGCACTTCCTACACGAGGCAAATTCTGTGACTTTTTTCCCCAAATGCAGTATCGAATTGCAATCTCAGAAGCACTCTACCTCAACTCAACTCACCAATCCCAGCACGCCGTTCTCACTCTGTAGTAGCACGCTGATTCCTGGCTTGATGTAGTTACTGGCAAGCATGGGTATACCTATGCCAAGATTAGCTGTGAATCACCATCAGTTAAGGACAATGGATAAACACAACAGAAACAACAGTCCCTACAAAATACCTGGCTCTTTGGAGAATAATCTTCCTATCTTTTCGGCTGGAGGGTATAAACAGACACAAAAACATTTTTTGAAATTTTAAAACATCCAATATTTCAGAGACAACACTAATAATAATAATTGTGGGTATTTATAAAGCGCACGTATCCACCATTAGTGGTGCTCAATGCGCTACATCATTATCACCCTGCTCATTGGGCCAATGAAACATTCCAATGACAATCTCAGCTCCCTGGGGAGTATACAGCTCCTTGCTGCCATTTTGGCGCAAAGCAGCTTAAATCAACCACAATAGCCATCTCTGCCCTCACAGGTACCCATTTACTCCTCGGTGGAGAGAAGCAATGAGTGACAAAGTGCCTTGCCCAAGGGCACACGCACCATAGCCGCAGACTGGACGCACCACAAGCCCACCTTGCGAATTACCCGCAGACCACGCATTCAATGCTCCAGACCACGAGGCGGCAGCACTCCACTATTATGTGTCCACAAAAATATCACAAAAAAATTGCTCTTCCTGCGAAGTAAATTATTCTTGAAAAGGGCAAGCTAAGGCCAAAAAAAAAAGTCTCCGGTTTCTGGTATGCGCGCGCGTCGCCGTAGCCATGCGCGTCGGCAAAATGAAAAAGTTTTTTTTCAATGAAAGATGATGTCTCAAAACCGCCAAACTCACTGGTTTGACTGGAATCCTGCTGCTGCACAATTTTAACGTGTTTTTAGATTGGGTTATGGTCCAGAATAAGCTTTATGTGGCCTCTCTGGACTCCCATATATATTTGCACTAAGTTTAGTCGGGCACCATTCATGCCATTTGCAGTCATCAGCCGACATTTGAAGCAAAAAAATCAGGTAAAAAAAAAAAAAAGCCGCGTCGCAGCACCACTTTTTGGGCAAGCTCCATACCAGAAACCGGAGACTTTTTTTTTTTGGCCTAAACATTAAATGTCCAGATTTTAAAAGATTTTTTAATAGTATAATAAAGTTGAACAAAGAAATTGACTGTAGCAGGAGCTGAACCTTCAACCTCCAGATTACCATACTGGAACCCTTATCCAGAGGTCACAGGTTGAAATACTCCTCCAGTCATATTTCTTTGCTCAAGTCGATAGATGCATGCACATAGTCAGTTTTCCTTTGTGGTATATTGATCACTTTACAAAGCATCAACTTCTCCCAAGTGAAGAAATCCTGAAATTTATCTTCCAAAATAAAGAATGGAATCTGGCTCTATCTGAGTAGCTGAATGTTTGAAGTTTCCCAGATTAAGGCTTGCCACTCTTCATCCAGGTGGGCAATTCCACGGTTACTCACGTTACATTTTCGTAATGTGAGTAACCGTTTTTGTGCGTCTTGTTTATCATACATAACACATTTTTCTGGATGTCATCTTTGGTGCTTAGGTAGGTCTAGGTCTACTCTATCTACCATAGGGATAACAGTTATTAAACCTTTTCAGTAAGGTAATTACAGCCCAAGGAAACTCAAAAGTACATCAAACATGTAACGTGAGTAACCGTGGAATTGCCCAGGTGCAGTTGCTCTAAAGTGTTATCTTGTTGGCGATCTGTGAAGGATACCATACATGCCGTCTTTGAATTCTAAGGCAGCTCTTCTGATGATACGTTCTCTCGTTAACGCTGTCTCTGACTTGGGCTTCTGGTTTGCGTCTTCTTGCTTCAGTGTTAACCTCTGATGGGATACATGTACATGTATTAAAGGGAAAATACAACATTTGCAAACATCAAAAAATAAAACTACCAAATCATTTTGAAATACCTTGCTGGACTGTTAGTGAATGACAGTGTAAAAGCATCCTGTAAAATTATGGCACCTGGTTTACTGTCATTTTCAAGAAAAGTGGTATTTTTGTATCAATTTCCAACGCTGGTCGGCTGACCAGCGTTGGAAAAAACTGGCTTTTTTTCAAATACTGGCCCCAATTGACCATCGCACTTGTTTGCAATCGATTACACACCTATGAACGGGTACAAGCCAGCTAGACCGGTTCCCTGACCTTACAATTCCCCAATGTATGTAAACTGCTCTGTTTCTTCTTATATGAAGTCAGGGAACCAGACTACAGGAAAATGATTGTTTTTTCTTGGTTTTTATAGCATTTTCGAACCCAAAACTTCAAAAAAGTCAGTGTAACTATATTTGGTATATATTTCCAAACCCCCAATTCCATCCATTTCTGAAAATTACAGCAAAAGCAAATGATGTATATTCCCTTTAATGGTGTATAAACAAAGGCATGGTAATCTGAAAATAAAGGATTGGTATGGTTAAGTTGTTGGACACTATCGATGTGGTTGCTTCATAAAGGGTAGTTTATCTGCCCTCAAGAAAAAGCCATACTTGAATCCCTGCGGTAATGGACGACCGAGCACCAGTGATTTCAAAACAACAGCTAAGAAAAACTCATCTATTGCCAAGTTTGCCTGATTCAGTTGTATGAGCCGTTCCTACAAATATATGTCGGTACGGAACATTCAGGCAACAAGGTCAAGCTGATACTGACTGAGACAGAGAGAACTCTCCCAATGTGTAGTAGACTTGGCTTGTGATTGGATATAGAGGGTCACTGGTGCAAATCCAGTCAGTATCACTTTTCTTAAGGGTTTTTGTCCCCAATTCTCAGGTTTTGTTCGAATGTAACATAATAGCTGCGAGGAGTTTGGTTTGACAGACTTGGAAAGGCTCTTAGGAAAAAAAAAACACAAGGGCATTGGTACCAAAGGGGAAAGGGTTCAGAGGGTGTGATAGAGACATACTTTTGTTGGCAAAATCAGGTCACTTTCTGCAAAAGACTTACCACCGTAAACGGCAATACCTGGTGTATGATGGTGTCCACCCCTACCCAACCTGAGTAAAGTGTCCCCTGGTGATAGAAGATGTGTCTCTCCCCCCCCCCCCTCCAACACCCTCCTCCAATGACCCTTTGATCTCTGGTAGTGCAGTTTGAGTTTAATAATAGCAAGTGAATATTCCAAAGACAACAAACCTCTATTCTCTTCTCTAATTTGTCAGACTTAACAACTCGCTGCACATAGATGCTTGGTACGTGGATGCTCTCCGGGTCAAAAGTGCCAACGTCCACAATTTCCTCTACCTACATTGCAACACAGTAGACAAGGGAAACGCTTACAAATAGTTTACATCAAACATTCAACTCAGCAGACACAAATGTCACTGGTAAACAATTGGAAGAAGTTTTTGATGTAGACAGGATATAGTTCTTATCGTTTCGGTTTGCGGTAACACCATGTAGTAATAACTACTGCTCAGTAGATATTTCGTTCTGAAAAGAACTTGTCCTGCTTGTTATCAAGTTTCGCTAAGTAATTTTAGTTCTGATAAGAACATTCCTGCTTTAAGTTCTAAAAGACAAGTTCTTAATTGGGGGATCACAAACAAAAGTTGGATATCTCAGTTGGTAGAGTGTCATTATGGTGTTCCGGAGGTGGCGGGCTCAAATCAGTTTGGTTTCTTCATTCAATCTTATCATTAAAGATGTACTAACATATAAACGTAAATATAAATTTCAACAAAGTATTTCAGAGTCATTGAAGTTTGTACCTCTGCGATGGTAATCTTGGCTGCCTTAGCCATGGAAGGGTTGAAATTCCGGGCTGTTTTCCTGAAGATGAGGTTGCCGGCCTTGTCTGCTTTCCAGGCCTTGACCAGGGCAAAGTCTCCTGTGATGGCCCTCTCCATGATGTATTCCCTGCCGTTAAATTGCCTTGCCTGCAGAATGACCGTAAAGTTATAATAATAAATGACATTCCGGGCGGTTTCCCCGATGATGGCCGCCTCGATCTGACAATACAGAAGGAAAATCACATCTAGCAACAAGCAGAAATTCTGAACCACTTTTTAACAGATAAATGTTGGGGAAAAAGATATCTAACAAAGCACTTCAATGGAGTACCGAAGTGTGACCTCATTTCGAACTAGAAAATGAAGTGCAAACGAATGGAGTACGCGCGCGTGTTGGTTCGCGGGCTGAAACACGCGCTAATGTCTTTCACACACATTTTGTGCGTGTGACGTATTCACCTCGGTACTCCATATGGGTGCAAGAAAATGGAACCTTGATAGGTTGTCATTCATTATAAAAACTTCTATGTTGAACTGAGTCTTCCAGAAAGTTATTGAAGCATTTTCTGTCAACTTGGATGTCACAACTCAAAATTCTTCACAAAATCTACTTGGAAACCACGAACTAGCGCAGGCAACATTAACTTAGAATGTACAAATTTACAGTCCAAACTTTGACGGAGCATTTCCATTTTTGTTTGTTGAAAAATGTCCACCATTCATCACAGTTTTACCCCCTTTTATAATAATAATAAATGGAGCATTTATAAAGCGCTTTTAACAAAGATCAAAGCGCTGTACAAAACTACAAAACTACAATCTACAAATAAACAAGGCAAAAACAAAAACAAAACAAAAAAAAACCTTAATTTAAGAATAACTCAAGGGAACCAGGAGATAATGAGAGGTAAAGATGAAGGTGAATTGATTAAAGAAACAGATGTGTTTTGAGAGATTTCTTGAAGGTGATGATTGATGATGCAAGTCGGATGTGTTGAGGGATCTTGTTCCACTCCCTGGGGCCAGCAATCGAGAAAGCTTTGTCACCTGTGGTTTTAGTGTTAATAGGAACATGTAATCGGGAAGTGTCTGTTGAAGACCTAAGCCCCGCCCTACCTGATTGATACAAAGAGAGTAAATCGGTCAGGTAGGAAGGAGCCAGACAGTGTTGTGTTTTGTAAACGTATAGAATTAATTTGAAAAGAATACGTGTTTTATCGAAATATACTTTCTAGCATGGTTTTATGGGTTAGGGGCACCGTAATTCTTACCTCTCTGGGCTCACTGGTTATCGCTATTTTGCCTGGCTCATCACCGTATTTGATCGGTGCCCCGCCTAAGTGAACTAGCGTCCCATAGGCAGTAGGGGTGTAGAATGCAGGGACACCTGCCCCACCGGCTCGGATCCTCTCTGCCAATGTACCCTAAAAATA